CATTATGAGACATTGTGAGATCTTTTTCAGCAGTATTATTGTTTAACATATTTACTGTTTCACAACTTCAAAAAACTTACCAATTTTTTCACTTTAAGTAATCTATTGTTTCATATCAATTTCAGCTTAACAAGTGTTTTTGTCATTTTGAAGCTAGAAATGCATAAACTTTGACAGCAATTAATACTTTAAGTTATAAAATTTGCTATTATTTTAAGTGGTTACTGCCGGTAATAAATATTATTTCATGTCACAGTTAAACCTTATTGCATATAGCATTATTTTAGCAAATTTTATTCTTTTGTTCTATGTTTCCAACAATCATTTTTATTTCTAATTTCTTTCTGTGGTAAAGATTGGTTGAAGCAGAACTTTAGTTAATAAACGGGTGAATATATAAGCAGTCCGACCAGGGAATTATACTATAAGGTTAGTGTTACAGTTAATAGGTTGAATTGTGTTAAATATGTTGCAATATACACGACAAAAATTTGTGCCTACATCTTCAACTTTTTTTATAGAAACATTAGTTCGAGATAATAGAAGAAAAACCATTTTCGGCAAAGCAATTTTTTATTGGTTATCGATGCCATCCATTGTACAGTGTATTGAGTTCATTACAAAAACATTCAAAGAAATGCTTAATGAAACTTATGTATAGCCAACTGAATGAGAATACAATAATTTGAGGTATCTAAAGCCAAATATACTTTTACCAATTATCTTATATGCACCTGATATAACATTCAAGTGAATTATTGGCATTTCTACTTCTAGACAGATGTAATAGCTCGTTCACTAAGGAAAAAAATTCAAGACTGATTTATTTCATCTCGATTTATCTGTAACTAATAACGTTTGTTTTTAAATTGTTGGTTATATTTCAAAATTGTCACTGTTTATATGCTGTTTAACATCTCAATAGAAAACTAGTTGTTTTGAACGTTAATAAACTTAGCAAATTGTCTTTGCTTACCTTCAACTTTTTTCGACGTTTATCAACAGACATATCTAAAATGTGTAAAACGAAACTAATGAAACTTTAGGCAGGGCTTCATGTTCAGCAAGTTAATTGGGTTTGATGAACCATGATCAAGTTTCCCTCACTTTTTTGCGTCAAAATACCAAAATCCGAAGTAATTGCTGCTTTAACAATGATCAGTTGCAACAGTGGCAGCATAATAAATGTACATCATCATGTTTACTTTTTGTCTACCTTATAACTTCTGCATCATCCACAGCACTTATACAGTTTAATGGCGAAATCAGAAAAAAAAATTGTGTAAATGAAGAGAAATTTTAGACGAGAAAACAGTTTTGGAGACAGTTCTCTGTTTTTTTTTT